ATCATATCATAATCATGCTGTCAGACATATATGGGGTGTCCGACCTACCCATTGGTCCTAATGACCGAATCAGGGACTAGTCCCCTTCTACTGATACTATCTCATATCCCATAGCAACCAGCATACGCACATATCTAACAGTCTAGCATACTCACATATCCAACAATAATAGACCAGATAGTTATCACAAAGATAAGCATCCCAAGTAATAATTACTAGTGGGCCGGCCTTGGTGTCTTAGACCCACTTCTACTAGAAGGTAACTGACCTCGATGTCGTGTAGTGTTTGAACTGTCCTCGGCGTGAAGGTTGACTCTCCTCGACTCCTCAATCCCTACACCACAACCCTCAAGTCATCAAACAGAACATACAACCCTAATCAGGGTCAATACCAAAACCAGGAAAAGTCAACATTGGTCAAAGTCAACATCCAGTTGACCTGACTCATCGAGTTGGTCTACCAAATCATCGAGTCCATACTCCACTAACTCGATCCAACCCCGACTCCACTCATCGAGTCTAGCAAGAACTCGATAAGTTCTCTTTCATTCAAACCAATGGGACCATCTTCATCCGACTCACCGAGTTCTTCCTTGAACTCGAAGAGTTTATCTCCCTCATAAGAACGTGTCCGGTCTACAACTTGCCGAGTTGTATGAACAACTCGTCGAGTCCATCTTAAAAGATTGGGAGATTTCCTTGAACCCCGCGAGTTTGTTCATACTATCATTGAGTGCCATGATTCCCATGTCCCCTTTTCGCGTCTAAACATCTATGAGAATTTCCTCCCTAACAACTAGTCCATCCACAGAAAGGATTTGTGGTCCTTACACCGCGACTCGCTGAGTCCCAAGAACAACTCGTTGAGTCTATCATTCACCAACACTATACAGTCGATTTAAATGGGTCTTAACACACCAAACCATAGATCTAGCATCGTAATGTCCATTTTACATGTAAAGTTCCAAACTCGGTACACATGAAAGGGGTCTTTGGCCCAAAAAGCCATAAAAGATGGCCTCTAGGGTGCGTGAGGTGTTCATGGCAACAAAATGGGCACCTTTGTACCATAAAACCCCCAATAGACCTGGATCTAAAGCATACACTGACTTTCAACACTAACTCCCGAATACAACACTTCTAGGGCTTTGAAAGATGAAGGAAAAGGCCCAAACATCAAGATCTATAGATAAAGGTTCAACTTTATACCACCAATAAGCTAAAAATGAGCTCCAAACTTTAGATCTTCTTGTTTCCCCTTGGTCTCACAAGCCCCTTTCCTCTTCTCAAGCTTCACAACCGACCAAAAAGCACCAAAATGGCCTTAGAACACACAAAAACGGCTAGGGTTTCGATATGATGTCTTCTGGGAGTATAAGGGACGATGGATGCTGAGATAAGGTGTTTAAATAGGGTGCAAACCCTCAATTTAGGGTGTTACCCAAACAACACTTACTCGCCAAGTCAGTCTTCGGACTCGTTGAGTAGGTCACTTAAATTGTCCGCGGATCTCGACTCTACTCAACGAGTTTGGCCTCCAACTCATCGAGTCCCAGAGAAAAACACAAGAAATGCTTGAATTAATTGCGTACTAGGAATCGGGTGTTACATTCGTGCCCTGATAAAAAAACACGTCTCTTTCCAACGCCTTCAACTGAGCGCCTTCTTCATAGCCTCCGTTCTCTAGCTTTTTCCTTCGCCGAACCTCCCTCCTCTGACCTCCGTCAAACGTTGCTCCTCCCTTCTAGGGCCTCCATGTGTGAGAACGTCAATCCCTTATGATTATTATAAACATGTTTGGTTAATGGTGTTATTATAACAAAAATGAAGTTGTTGGGACGTTACACTTGGAATCTCTAATAAATATTATTTTTAGGTTTAGAATGACGACTATGACTATAAACATAAGTTACACTAAAAGCAATATAAATGTAGCTGAACTTACTGAGATTTTCCTAAAAAAAGTCTAGAAATTGTGGTCGCAGAATTCATACGGAGAACAACCCGTATATAGGTTCTGAAAAATCACGTCGCGCCCGTGTATGTTACACATGGTATCATGGCCCATTCCACTTGCGACACATGGCAGAAATTTGTTGGACCTATGTGGCCCCTTCTAAAAGATCATGCGTGGTGTGCGTTGCGCGTAACACATCTCGTGAAACTTAAAAAAAATTCATAACTTCTTCAAACGAAATCCGTTTGTAACATTATTTATATCCACACATAGCTATAACTAGCACTTTGACCAAAAGTCAAACCAAGTAAAAAAGTCCACGATTAAAGTCAACTTTAGAGAGCCACCATGTTGTGACCTCCTACTAGTGACATCATGACATGATAAGGATAAAATAGTCGCATATTTCCCGCATCCGTCACGTCGTGAAAACTATGTCTCAAAAACTTAATAGATTAAGCCATTTTCCATCCATTCCATGAGCTCCAAAGCTCAGATTTGATTCTTCCCAAGGTCTCAATGGAGAAAGTTTCCAAATCTATCCATTAAGACATCCTAATAAGCCAAGATCTCTAAACCTAGGTCCTTAATGGCAACTTAAGGCATGAAGTCTACCATTAAGAACTTAATCCTTAAAGTCTTTAGTCCAAAACTTCCAGAAGGGTTCTAGGGACTAATGATCCCTAAAAATGTAAACTTTATGTATATGCATGCCGCATTAGGTGGGGATTCTTAAGCAACATCAGGTGGGGGTTCTTGAGCAACAATATGTAGGGATTCGTGAGCAACATTAGGTGTGGGATCAGAAGTTGGAGAGTTATTTGAATTAATAAAAACATACGAAGAAACATCACCACTTTCAATGCTAAATAGATTAATATCCTGAAGTTCTGACTGATTCACATTGTGTGACTTAACATGAATGCTATAGAATAGAATGTATTCTAGAAAGGTGACATGTCGAGAAACGTACATTTTTTGACTTGTCAGATCATAACATCAATGCCCTTTTTGGACAATAATGTACCCCCAATAATACACATAGAGAAGATTTTAGAAACAACTTGGTTTGCTCAGCGTGAGGCCGTAAAATAAAGCATGTACATTTAAATATACACAATGAAGAATAATTAAGAAATTTTCCATATAGTTTTTCATAGGGAGACATCCCATAATTGTGTGTAGTAGGAATGTAATTAATGACATTTTTAGAGATAAGAATGACTTCTCCCCTAAACATACTAGGGACATGAGAGGATAAAAAGTAAGGATTGTGCAGTTTCAACAAGGTGACGATATTTTCTTTATGCAATACCTTTTTGTTGAGGAGTATCTATACATGATGATTGGTGCATAGTGTCATAAGATACGAGTAATTGAGTAAAATCATTAGAGGTATATGTTGGGTTTTGAGCATTCTAACATTTCCTAAGTGTACATGCAACCCTAATAACCTTGGATCCATGTTTGTCTAATTATCATGCAAAGTTGAATTCCAAGGCTATATTCCTATCTAGCATACATGGGGAACAATTTTAACTTGAATGATAGATAGAATAACTTACCTTGTTGTTGCTTATGTTCCTTGAAACCTTATGAGCCTAGCACCCTAAGTGTGATGCTGCAAATGCTTCACACAACACCAAATGCTCTTGGAAAGACTTTTGAGAGAATGCACACTTCTTGAAATCGGCCAAGCCCTCTTGTTTCCTTAGTGTAGCCGATTTTGGTGGAGACTATGATTCTTATCTAGTGTTGACACATCTAGGGTTACACCATGTAAACCCTAATGTGTCATGACTCTTCATTTCCATGACCCATGGGTTTGTACCTCCCATGGAGCATCCTATGGGTGGAACCCAACTTGATAATCCATGGAGCCTCTTAGCCCACTATACAAGATATGGATGATTTACATAATCAACCCATATATTTAATTAGTTCTCTTTTGATCACTTAATTAATTCTAAATTAATTATTGATCAAACTAATCAAATAATATTATTAATATATTAGAACTTATAATATATTAATAATCTCCAAGTGTTATTTCTCTCATTTAGTCTATCCAATTGCATGGTGCCATGCAACCCAAACGGACCATGCCGGGTCGGGTCAAGTACATACCAGAAATAGTTATGGACTTAGACACCTTATCCAACAGTCTCCCACTTGGATAAGTCTAATAACTATTACTGCAAGTATGACTTCAGGAACCGATCGGCAATCGTAGCTCTTTTCAATGTTTCTCGGAAATGAGAAGATGATGGTACGCCATTTAAGATAAGTGATCATATAATCCTCTGTTCTAGATATCAGTTGGACAAATACATGGAACAATGTCTTACTTATTGTCCAACAGTTTGTTTCCCGATTTCTGATTTGTTTGACAAAGAACTTAATTGAACACATCAACTTGTTGGGTTAATCGGTTGGTTCAACGGGTCATGGGTCGGATCTAGTTCGTGATCTAGGAGTGTTTGATTGAGTCATCCTAAAATAAAGGGATTATACCCATGTTCTAGAAGGTGCACAACAGAAAATGATCAAGTTGACCAAGTTTACAGGAGATACGAGATTAGCATGTGCATGTTTGTTTTTTACTTATAAATAGGTGTTATTTTCCTTTTGTATTTTAACCTTTTTTCCATCAGAATAGTGAAGCTTCTGCATATTCTATTTGTTGTAACTACGTGAGAGTGTGTGTTGTGTGTGTGTTTTCAAGGGCCTGTGCCAACAATTGGTATCAGAGCGGTTTAAAAAGAGGGTCGGGTTGAGAGTCGACTTTCGAAGGGGAGGAGCCTTCGGGTGCAAGGTTGCCATCACAGCGGAAAGAGGTGTTTGGCAGTGGTTGCTCGACTGGAGGTTCCGGTTGATACATATGGCAGAATATTGGCTGTTGTGTGTAGCAGGTGGCTGCGGTTTATTGTGGTGATTTTCCTATTGAAACAAGATGTGATGTTGGTGAAGTAAGTCACAGAGGGTGACTGTAGTTATTCGTATGACAGCAGATGGGTGTTGAGGATGCATTCATAGCAGACGCATGAATAGGGTTAGGACTGCAAAGGTGAAATCTCCATCCTTGATCAGAATGTTCCAGGTTTAAGAGTGCCTAACCAGAAGCCGAGAAGAGAAGCGGAAAGAAATCAAAAATAGGTGGGTTTTGATTTGGCTTTTTTTTTTTCCAGAGCTGGTAAATGAAAATAGAAGAAGCATGAGCTTGGTTTTCGTAAATGGTGGAAGAGGACTCTAGATAGGAACGGGTTAGATCATAAAAGGTTGGGACTATCACAAACAAGACAAGGTGATGATTCCGACGGTCGGTTGTGGGTATGTCACGGAAAATGGAGAGATTTACCGGAGATGCATAAGAAAATGAAAAGAAAAGACTCGTCAAAGCAGGTGGCTTTGAGTTTGTTTCGTTTTCCAGGTGAAAAAAGATGGGAAAAGCAGGTTGCTTTGTTTTCTTGTTCGGTGGAAGAAAGCTCTCGTGTCACAGAAGTGTTATGCGCAAACGGGTTCTGTGTGGTGACAAACAACAGCCGGGGTATGGAGGACTTTGGACGTGACCGAGGTAAAGGTCGGGTGTCCGGGAAAAGTTGGGATTGGGTGAAGACTTTGGACGTCGCGGAGGTGAAATTCGGGTGTCCGGGAAAGGTCTTGAATCGAGATGAAAGGAGGGTGATTAAAGGCTGTTGTGAACAAATGGTGTGAACAACCGATTAAGGGGGTGATTGTTGGGTTGATCGGTTGGTTCAACGGGTCATGGGTCGGATCTAGTTCGTGATCCAGGAGTGTTTGATTGAGTCATGCTAAAATAAAGGGATTATACCCATGTTCTAGAAGGTGCACAACAGAAAATGATCAAGTTGACCAAGTTTACAGGAGATACGAGATTAGCATGTGCATGTTTGTTTTTTTACTTATAAATAGGTGTTATTTTCCTTTTGTATTTTAACCTTTTTTCCATCAGAATAGTGAAGCTTCTGCATATTCTATTTGTTGTAACTACATGAGAGTGTGTGTTGTGTGTGTGTTTTCAAGGGCCTGTGCCAACATAACTTAGTTTTGACCGGGCCCGGTACATAGGTCAAAACAAAATCATCGAGGGGCACAGATATCAGCTTCTAATCCAAGAAGGAACAGATAAACTTTGACTCATATGTTTGTTTTACCACTCATTGAATTACACACAAGAGCACGATTTATAACATCGAGTTACCAATGCGTTTTCGTACAATCAATGCATAACCAACTTGTAAGTAACAAATCATATCTCTAGGTTTGAAGACTTATATGATATTACCGTCTCACGATCACTCGAGATAAAGTTCCATGAAGTGATTCCAGTGAGCCTGGGTTGAGTCCAATGCTCAGAACTTATGAGCACTCATGATTGTTGTAGCCTTGTCTAACACCTCAGACCTCTGCAACCAATCATGACAGTCTTGATTCATACCTACTTCCGACATATGACCGACTGTGGAGGTTTGAATAATATGTTATACCAAACAAAATTATTCTGGAAGTCAAAACATGCAAAAGAAATATAGTAAACGATTGACAAGAGATAGCAACACTTTACTCATAAATAAAACACCTTTTATTCATCATCTAATGTCAATTACACTTTACAAATTTCGAGGTTATCTAACTACTAAATCTAATATCATCCTTCAGCCCTATGCTCCGAGCATGCTGGAGATGCTTAACCCGAGTCAGTCCCTTCGTGAGGGGATCTGCTGGGTTCTCATCCGATGATACCCTCTTTACCACGAGGAGTCCTTCTTCTATTCGATGTCTAATAAAATGGTATTTTCTATCGATGTGTCTAGATCTCCCATGATCCCTTGGTTCCTTGGCTAAGGCAACAACGCTTTCACTATCACAGAAAATTTCCATTGGCTCTTTAATAGCTGGTACAACTCCAAGGTCTCCAATGAAGTTCTTCAGCCATATCGCCTCCTTTGCCGCCTCGCTCGCTGCAATATACTCTGATTCGCAAGTTGAATCAGCCACTGTCTCTTGCTTGGAACTCTTCCAAGAAATTGCTCCTCCGTTTAGAGTAAAGACCCAGCCTAACTGAGAGCGGAAATTATCCCTATCAGTCTGGAAGCTAGCATCACTATACCCTACAACTCTCAAGTCATCACTCCCACTGAGGGTAAGGACCCAATCCTTAGTCCTTCGTAGGTACTTGAGAATATTCTTTACCGCAGTCCAGTGTGCCTTGCTAGGGTTCCCCTGAAACCTGCTAACCATGCTCAGGGCAAAGGCTACAACACGTCGAGTACACGTCATTGCATACATGATTGATCCTACAGCCGAGGCATAAGGTATTCGAATCATTTATGCTAACTCAGCCTTAGTGCTAGGGCTTTGTGTCTTACTCAATTTGGCGTTACTCTGGATGGGTAACTCTCCTTTCTTGGAGTCCTACATCCTGAATCTTTTCAGCACCTTATCCAAGTAGGTACTCTGACTAAGTCCAATTAGTCTTTTACTCCGATCTCTCAAGATCCTTATCCCTAAAATATAGGCAGCTTCACCAAGGTCCTTCATAGCGAAACACTTCCCAAGCCAGGACTTTACTTCCTGCAGGGTTGGAATGTCGTTTCCTATGAGTAGTATGTCATCCACATACAATACCAAAAAGTTAACTATACTCCCACTAGCTTTGACATACACACAAGATTCATCTTCACTCCTAGAAAAGCCAAATTCCTTGACCTTTTCATCAAAGCAAAGATTCCATCTGCGAGGTGCTTGCTTTAATCCATAGATGGATTTCTCAAGCTTACACACTCTATTAGGGTACTCGCTGCTGACAAAACCTTCTGGCTGACTCATGTAAACATCTTCAGCCAACCTTCCATTAAGGAAAGCGGTTTTGACATCCATTTGCCAAATTTCATAGTCATGAAATGCGGCTATGGCTAACATAACCCTAATAGATTTAATCTTGGCTACTGGAGAGAAGGTCTCATCATAATCCACTCCAGGAATTTGAGAGAAGCCCTTTGCGACCAATCGAGCCTTATAAGTGTGTACATTACCATCCATGTCGGTCTTCTTCTTGAAGATCCATTTGCACCCTACTGTCTTACGACCTAGTACATTCTCAACCTAGTTCCAAACTTGATTGTCATACATGGATTGTATCTCGCTATCCATAGCCTCTTTCCATTTAGCAGACTCGGGGCCTACCATGGCTTCCTCGTAGCTGTTAGGGTCATCTTGACTTACTAGTAATGCTCAGGTGCACTCCTAACTCTCGTGGAACGTCTCAGAGGTACAGAATCATCAATTGGCTCAACAGGAGTTTCCTCCTCAAATTGAGGGCTAGAGTTTGAAGTTCCTTCACCACTTGACTCTTGAAGTTCTTCAAGGTCAATTTGCCTCCCACTATCTCCTTGGCTTATAAAATCTCTTTCTCGAAAGACTCCTCTTCTTGCTACAAAAACCACATTATCACTAGGTCTGTAGAAGAGGTAACCAAAGGATTGCTGTGGGTAGCCGATGAAAATACACCTCTCGCTTCGAGGTTCAAGCTTATCATGAGTCTCGCGTCTCACGAAAGCCTCGCAACCCCAAATCTTGATGTGGTCTAGTTTGGGTACTTTACCAGTCCACATCTCGTGAAGAGTTTTGGCAACTTTCTTTGTAGGGACTAGATTAAGGATATGGGAGGTAGTCTCTAAGGCATATCCCCAGAATGAGATTGGTAGCGAAGCTCGACTCATCATGGAACGGACCATGTCTAACAAGGTTCGATTACACCTCTCAGCCACACCATTCAACTGCGATGTCCTGGGAGGTGTCAATTGTGAGACAATCCCACATTCCCTTAGATAGTCGAGGAACTCTGAACTAAGATACTCACCACTTCGATCGGATCGAAGCATCTTAATGTTCCTGCCCAATTGATTCTCGACTTCCTGTTTAAATTCCTTAAACCTCTCGAAAGTCTCTGACTTATGTTTGATTAAGTAGACATATCCATATCTACTGTAATCATCAGTAAAAGTCAAATAATAACGATTAGCATCCCTTGTGGCATGTTTGAATGGTCCACACACATCCGTGTGTACAAGGTCCAACAAACCCTCACCCCTTTCACACGAGCATGTGAAGGGTGAGTTTGTCATTTTTCCAAGTAAGCATGATTCACAACTATCATCTGACTTCAGGTCAAACGACTCCAAGACTCCATCCTTTTGGAGTTGGCCTATGCGTTTCTTCCTTATATGTCCAAGACGACAATGCCATAATGATGCTTTATCCAAGTTATTATTATTAGTAGAATCAATACACAAAGCATTATTTCCTAAGTTATCTACAACAGACACAGCTTCATACACACCATCATAGGGTAATGCTTTAAAATAAAGAACATTATTAAAGAAAGCATCAATAGAACCAACTTCATTATTAAACGAAAAGGTAAACCCTTGTTTGTACAATGCATGAAAGGAAATAATATTTCTTCCCAGTTCTGGCGAGTAACAACATTTATTCAAATCTAAACTAAACCCACTACTTAGCGATAAAGTATAAACTCCAATCTTGGTGACAGGTGAAGCTTTCCTATTCCCCATGATCAAGTTTATTCTTCCTTGCTCCACATCCTCACTTCTTCTTAGTCCCTGCAAGTCACAACAAATATGAATACCACAACCGGTATCAAGGACCCAAGATTTCGAATGGGGTGAGTCATTAGAAATGATAGTCTAAATACCTGCATGGTTGGGTTTAACTTTCCCATTCTTCACATCTTGCTGGTATTTTGGGCAGTTCCGCTTCCAATGTGATTTTTCATGGCAATAGAAGCATTCAGCCTCTTTTGGGTCAGAAGAAGGAGTGATGAAACCTTTCTTGGTTCCACTTGAAGAAGAGCCATCAAGGGTCCTAACCTTGGTACCCTTCGAAGAACTCTTTCTCTTCTTCCCTCGACTTTTCCCGATTGCCAAAACCGGAGTGGAGTTTGGAGTAGGAGTGTTAACAACTGACTTCCCCTTAAGACCAGATTCTGCGGTCTTGAGAAGTCCCTGAAGTTTGCTGAGTGTGACCTCTTCCTTATTCATGTGATATGTCATGTGGAATTGATCATAGCACGATGGTAAGGAGCGCAAAATTATATCTATTGCAAGCTCCTCAGGGAAGTTCACATTAAGCTTCAGCAATCGATCCACGTACCTTTGCACTTTCTACATGTGGCTCATGACGGAATCCCCGTCCTTCATCATGGTTGTTATCATGGAGCAGATGATTTCGTACCTCTCTTGCCGTGCACTTTGATGGTATCTTTCCATCAAATCTTGGTGCATTTCATAAGGGTAGAAATCCTCATAGGACTTTTGGAGTTCCGCTGTCATCGTGGCCATCATGATGCATGCTACTTTCGTAGCATCCCTTTCATGTGCCTGAAAGTCAGCGATCTCCTGAGGAGTTGCAGTGGTCTCATCAATCTCCTTAAGCTCCTTGTCAAGGACATATTCTTTGTCCTCGTAGCAGGTAATCATCCTGATGTTTCTGATCCACTCATTGAAGTTGGATCCATCAAAAGTGACTTTCTCACACAAGTTCATAAGGGTAAAAGAGCCATTAGGATTAGAGCCAGAAGCAGCATTGTTTGAAGACATCTGAAGGAAGAGGACAAGATTAGTTTAGATATTAAGAGAGTCCTTAATAAAACACCCAAATGTAATATTAAG